AGGCCCCGCGAGGGCTCCAGCTGGGGCAGGACGGCCCCAAGGCGGCGAGAGCTGCGAGACGGAGGAAGAAGCCGCTGGAACCCGGCAGGAACAAGGCCACGGTGAAGGGCAGAGTCGTGAAGTCGGCGATAGGTGAGTGCTGGCCCGCCTCCGGGGAGCGTGGAGGAGCAGCAGCTCTGCCGCCCTCCGGAGCACTCGCACCGGGGCCCCTCGTGGCGTCCTGTGGCCACTCTCGCGGTCGCTTGTATCCATCCCTTCCCATCCTCCGGGATCCTCTTTTGCTGGCCTCCACTTAAACACAGCCTGATCTGTGGATGCACCCCTATCCCTGAGTTGCAGTGATGTCTCTTTCTCCTGGGGCCTTACTGATCCACCTGTGTCTTTTCATGCTGCCTGGATGAGCAGCTGATGTGTTTTGTCCCGCTCTGCTTTGACTTAGAGGAATATCATAAGAAGAAGGCTGCGGATCACTTGAGAGAAAATCTGCAGTACATGTTGAAGAGCCGATTTGTTGCAAACAAAGCCATCACAGAACAAGTAAGACTGATGCTTCTTTCTCTGGGGTTCTGCTTCCGCTGAGGAAAATAGGTGAATGGGAATTAACCCCAGATCTTCTAGCTGAGTCAAGTTAAGTTTCTGTCTGCAAATGGCCTTGAGGAATTTCTGTGTGTGCTGGCAAAATAAGTTACTAAGCTTTAAATTCTCGATAATATGTTGACCTCTGTGATGTTCCCAAATACTGTTTTAAATGTACTAACAGCTGTTAGTCTTTCTTGATTACCAAAGATATTTTATAGCTCCAGCTGTCAAAGAAATCCTGGTTCAGACCTTTTTCCTTACTGTCAATCAAAGTGGCCTTCTCTGTTGCTGGAGCCTGTTTAGCAAGGACCCAGATGTGCTGCTGGCTCATGTAATAAGAATTTCGTGAATGCCATTTCTCATAATGAGTGGTCTTCCACAAAAGGTAGTCCCATGCCAGGATCTGAAGGGGAGAATAGCTGACACTGCTGGAATCTTGGGCTATTTTTATGAGATTCAGGCTGTTAACTTACATAAACAAATCAAGTGGTTTAGGCCAGTGTTCCTCAGGCTGGAGATTGTCAAGGGAAGTGACAGTGTATTAGGAAATGCTGAGGGAATTCCACTGATGTGTTGGGTTTTCAGATTGTCTCATGGAGAGGCAGGATGAAAGAAGGTAATAGTTTCAGAAAGGCCTGTATTGAAGTCAGTGTTTCTATCTCTGTAACAGTTACCAGAGAGTAGTTTTCAGAGTTGACTCTAAATATGAAGTTGGTATTTCCAGTTGTTCCAGTGACCTGCTTTGATTAACATTGGTCATTGCCTCTCTCTTCTTTTGAGGCATTTCAAGATATAGCAAGGTACTAGTAGAATAGCAGGGATGCTGCAGGTAAGCTTGAAAATCACCGTTTGGGGGTTTGGTCTGAATTATAATGACTGTTGTTTTTTATTATCTGAAGGTTCTTGCTCAGAACAGAGGCAGGAAGTCCAAAGATCAGCCTCCAAAGAAGGCAGCAAAGAAGAAGCCTGAAGGCACTGTCTTTACTGAGGAAGATTTCCGTAAATTTGAGAGAGAATACTTTGGGAGGCCATAAACAATGCGGCAGGGATTCTTGTAGCTCCAGTCCTCCTGCACTTGAGTGCTCAGCATGCAGGACCGGCCATTTCCTCCGTGTAAGATGGGGCATCGGAGACATGCTGCTGTCAGCAAATGCTTTAATGTCACACTTGCAGAGGAGCTCTGCATCTGTGCAGAACTTGTTACCGGCCAGCTACAGCCACAGAGGTTCTCTTGGCTCTGAGACGCATTGTCCTTAGAATTATCTCCCTCCAGCCAACGTCTTGCATTCTTAATGTAGAAGGGTGGACCAAGCCAAATATAGATCTTGTTCCCCTTCCACAGGATGTAAGGCTTCTGCTGCCTGTGTTATCCGTCACAGAGCATTTGAAGTACTGTGTCTGAATGGAGAAGTATTTTGGACCAGCAGTAATAAATCATCGAAGGACACTTTGAAAGACTTAAACCTGAGTAGCCCTGTGGTTCTGTTCTTATTACAGCCTCTGTCAGGGCTTTCAGTCATTGCAAAAACTTTATATGTTGTTTGATTAAATAACTGTTGCAGACGCAGCCTCTCTTTGCCTTTGTAATAGTGATTATTATGAATGGCTATGACTGACAAAGACAAACTGTGTCACTGTTCTGATTCGCATCCCTCTCTTCAGGATGACTCAGTCGTGCGACCTGCCTCTCTGATTCATGCTGACACACGGGTTTAATCTCCTCTCCGACACGCTCAGACCTTCAAAGAGTGCAGGTTGGAATGGAGATGACTCCTCAGTTTTGCCTGCTCAGTCTCATCTACCCATGAAAGAGCTCTTGCACAGAGAAAGTTGCCCTTTGGATGCACCTGAGCCTCCTGCTGAGGTTCGGCCATGCCAGGAGGGCACCGCTGCTGGGTGCTGCCAGCTCCCCCAGCCAGGAGGGGCTGTGACCCAGATGTTAGCCTCGGCCTGAGCCAGAGGTTGTGGTGCTGGGTTGAATGGAACATTTTTTTATTTTTTTTTTCTATTAGACTACTGCTGGATTGCGGGCTGCAACGAGCAGAAGGCCCAGCAGGTGGGAGTGTTGTTCCAGACACTTCTTCGCTAAAACCACTCTGAATGTGCTGCTGGGGAGCTCCTGCCACTGCCCTTTCCTGCCCCTTACCTAAGAAGATGGGAAGCATGTTCCCTTTGGAATAAAAGATTTAAGGAGAAGGACTAGTGCCAAGCTTTAGTGAGACTCGGGAGTCGATTACAAGGTGTTTGGCTGACCTGAGCAGCAGCTCTTTGGATGGCAGCAGTGGTGGGAATGTGGTGTCCCTTCCCTGCCCTCTGATTATAATTCCTGGTCCTGTCCTCTTTAAGTCTGTGCCTCCTCTGTTGTGTTCTTTGCCTCTTGTCTGGATGGAAGGGAAGGTCACCCAGATGTATGAGGTCCAGACAGGGGAAATAGTGCACATACTGAAGTGTTTGTACTGGAAATTGTGTAATAGCACGTGGGAGGGGATTTCTTGTAATAGGATCAAGTTCAACTATATGCAGCCAAAAGCAGTAAATATAGAACAGTTCAAAGATCAGTTCCCCTATTTCTCAGTTTGTTCTTGCTCCCAAAATTAGAAAATGCGTAGTTTTTTTTAAAAAAAAAAAACAGAGAATTACTGTTTGCTTCTTAAAAGAATGGCAACTATTGTTTGAAAAAGTAGTTAAGCAAGATTTTTGCCTCCCGTGTCTCCTTGAAACCTCTGTGGTCTGTGCCTGCTGCAGTGTGTGTGAGCTGATTTAATACGTGCAGCTCTGTGCGGAGGCATCATGGAGACTTAACAGTGTAAATAAAGCTAGCCTTCTGAAAGATTTCTCAGGGTTTATTTTGTTTCAAGCCCTCATCTTCAGTATTTGGCAGTTCCTTTGACCATACAGAGGTCCTTCATGTCACCCCCTGCACCTCTTCTGTCAGTTCCTCCCACACAACCTTGTTTCTGTGGTTGTACAGCTTCTGGGTTTTCCAGGCTGAGGAAAGCAAAACCATCCTTTGTTGCTCCAGAAAGGAGCGCTAGGGTAACGCGGTTCACTCTCTTTGTACAAAACCTGGCTTGTTTGCTTGCAAATGTAAGCAAACAGGAAAGCTGTTCTTTCAGACTTAATGAGGAACTTTAAAGTAGGGCCCAAGAGCAGTTTTCCCCAAGGATAATAACACCTAGATCTGTGGAGTTTTAAAGTTGGATGGCAGCTCTCATTACTGGCCGGAAAGACTATTGGGGCAAAACAAGTAACCAACACACTTCTTGTGGCTGTGTGCCATGAGGCATTACATTGTTGAAGAAGGTAGAGCTACCTAACAGTGGATTTTGCCGTCTGAAGTCAAACTTGGTCATACAGCCGACAGTATCCTTAAATAAGTGAAATTTTATTTTGCAGGGGGAAGGAAGGAAGTGAACAGTCAGCCCTAGATGAACTGTCTTCTGCAAGGGCAAAGATCTGACGCAATTTAGTCTTGATGTTCCCCCTCTGTAGCAGCACAGGAGCTCCTATGAAAGAAGAACAGCAGTGCCACCTGCACAGTGCATAGATAAGGACAGGAGTTGGCCCATGAGGGAGATATCTTGAAGCTAGAGGGGAGAATAGGTACCAGCCTGTTGCATGTGCCTGGTGGTCAGCTAAAGCTCAGCATCTTCTTGTGTTCCCAACTGTCTGTGTTATGGTCTAGTCATGCCTAAAGCACGACAGCTCCTCAGCTGTGCTGGGACCCCAGGAGGTGGCTTTCTCAGAGTAACCGGTACCATCTCTCTTTTCTTTGCAGCCAGACTTTCCTGTCCCATGTAAGAGAGAAGAGCGGGTTAGGGAAGGAGCAGCTGCCATAGCTGCTTTCCCTGGTTGGCCTCCAACCACCAGTTTTCACGCTGGAAGCTAACACGCTGCAGCCCTCGGGCCAGCCAGACACCATTTCTCTCCCGCGCAGCTCCGAGAGGCAGCACAGGGAGGCATCCCGCTGCTGCGGGGTGACGGCCGTGTGCTGGCTGAGCTCATCGGGCTTCTGGCTCTCTTCCCAGCTCTGCGACACCAGCTGAGCATCCTCCTGCAGCAGAAAACAGAGGGAGCTGAGCTAGGGAAGAAGGAGAAGGGTGCCATCTTACCGTGCATCCCCACCCACACGCAGCAGGGAGTCTTAATGGGAGGCAGCAGCAGCAGCTTTAATATAAATGCAAATAAAAGCACTGGAGTGTTATTAACGTCGTAGAACTTTTCCAGGGAAATGGTTTAAAGGAGGCAGAATAGTTCCCAGATGCTCAGCATTGAGCTAGCTTGTTTTGAATAAGATTCATCAGGCCGCTTAATGGCCTATTGCTTCCTCTGTTACGTGAATGGAAAGCACAAAGCAAAATTTGTTAGGACGAGTCCAAGCTACTGTAAGCCAATACAGCCTCTGCTGTATCAGCAAGTCTTTACTTCTTTAGTGTAGAAAGCAACAACAACTAATATCAGCATTATATGCGTATCGTGAGGGGGAAGGACTGCAAACATAAACCAAGAAAACAAACCAAGAAAACATGGTTGCCCAGGTCACCAACCAACCTCCTGCCTCTGAAATGACACAGCAGTAACAAACCTGGTGCCAATGAACAAAGACAAACTGTAAAACTTGCTCTGGAAAACAAGACCTGAAATGATGAAAAAGGTGTTGGTGGGGAGGAACCAGCAGAGTCGAGTCCTAAAAGGGTTGGGGAATTTCAGCCTCTGGTTTCTTTTCCATGACTGATTTCCATTTCAGTCTCACTGATGATCAACACCTACAACACTGATGGGCTCCAGAATACCTTGGCTAAGGGACTGGTTGTTGCAGACAGGGTGCTCAGCAGCAGCACCCTGAATAACTCACAAAAGTTACATAAAAGGAAGTTTCTCATTTTGAGACAAGAAGACCTATCAGTCTGGCAAAAAATGAGGAGTATGAAAGAAGGCAAGCTGCCTAATGCCTGCTTACAGCTCAAATTGTGGAACTCCACCCAAGGCAGGCTGAAGGGTTAGTAAGTTTGAGACGGATTAAAGGTTTGCATGCCTATCCATAGTTACATTAAATAGGATTAACAGTGCCAACTACTAACCGGTGAGGGCAGGGGAAATAAAAAGCATGAAGGTTGCTCTGCATCTGTCTACAGCATTACGCACACCTTTTTTTCTGAACGAATTAGCTGTTGGCAGGGCTAACCAGTAATCTAGCCAAGCTGTCCTGTCCTGAGCTGCACTGCTTGCATGCCAGCAAGATCATTTAGCTCCTTTAATGGGAGGCAAAGAATAGGTCTCTTTCTGCTGCTGCAATGGAGATGCAGAGGAGTCACAGAACTAGGAGATTCTCTGCCCTATATAAATTCAGTTGACGCATCTGCTGCGCTTTTAACTCGCTCCTTGCCATTTTTTAAAAGGGTGTGTACATGTAAAAGAGAGGAAAAGAGCAGCTGAAGGAGAAATGAGAGGTGGCTGGCCATTACTTGGAGACCATTCACCAGTGTAATAGGGAAATTGGAGCTTGTGGTTAGAGGTGGCTTCATTCAGTGTCCTGTCACCCTGCATGAGTGCACTGAAAATAATGCAAAGTCAGCATACTTGGGATACCTAAGCAGCCAAAATAATATTGCCTAGGTCAGGGGACTGATCTCTGTTACTTCACAAGGCCCGACTTGTCAGCCTGAAGCGTTTCAGTGGGAAAGTCAGCAAAGATGAGGGGTTTTAGGCCCAGCAAGGGATGCTCATGGTAAGATCCCAAGATCATCTTTGCACGGGAAATGAAGTGTATGTGCTGGACTGCACAGCAAGGCTGTGACTACAGCAGGAGGACAGAGGAAGGTAGGTTGTCTCCAGAATCTACTCGAACCATATTAGGAAAAAATGAGTATGTACAATATGGAAATTATGCATATAGGAAGGACAATATAGATCCTGTTGTTTCTGAAGGCCTAAGCCTATGGAAACATTAAAGAGAATTGGTGTTACTTTGGCCAAAAAATATATAGATTTCTCACCCCACAAAAAGGCTTTCTGAATTAGAAACAGGTTTAGTAAGTGGAGAAGAAGGGTAGCTACACAACAGTGAGGGTTGAGAAAGCAAGAGACATCTCAGAACAGAAAAAGTATATGGAAATGCCAAGAACTGAAACAAGCATGCCTAAAAGAAATGGTGAGGCAGTACTTAGCCAGGCCGTGGGAAATGCGGGCAAGAAAAGAATGTTGGTTGGGGCTTTTTTATTCAAGAGGCAGGTGACTCCTCTCTGGAGACAACATGGCTTTGGGGCTGGGGAAGAGGGGGCTGTGACCAGACTGTCATTGTGTGAAATTGTTCCAGTCAGAATAACCCACAATTTCTTTCTACCGGTCCAGCTCAGCAGCACTGGGGGAGCATTCGTCTCCCAAAGGACAGCCTGTCCTTGCAGCTATCTCTGGGCTTTCTGCCAGGGCAAAAGCTATTTGGAAGATTTTTATCATCATTCTTCCTTCATTCTCTAAAGCTGCAGCTGGGGATTTATTTTTGTAAGCATGCTGCAAAGGTGCATCTGGTTCTCCACACAGGCACGCAAAAAACCCACCAGTGGTGGTAGTTTCCTCTTTTCATTTGCAAGAAGTGCAAGCACCTGGGTCTCTCTAAAGGCAGGGTGAAGAGGAAGGTAGTTATAAATATCACAGTAGCAGAAACGAGCTCATGAGAAGGGGCCATATGTTGTCAGAGCAGCTCTGTGAGCAGTGATCGGCCAGGAGTTGTGTGGTTATGTATGGGAATACTGAACTCCTGATTACCATGAAGTAAAAAATCGTCTAAGGGATCAGCAGCCTGAGGGTCATGTGTACTGTGTGTGTGAAGTCCACTTATCATAGAATCATAGAATCATAGAATGGCCTAGGCTGTGCCAACTAGCAGTGCCAACTTCAAATTCAAATAGCTTTTATGTAACATGAATTGGGGGAACATTGCTGTTTCCAAGTATGTGGAAGAACTGGGCTCCTCCAGGGGTAGGTAAAGCCTGCATTTCATGCACTAAAACCTATTTCTGGTCCTGGCATCACCCTGTATTCAAGCCACAAGGATTCAATTGAAGCACATTTGTTCTGAGAGGCTGTGAGAAAAAAAAGACAGGTCCTGCAGTTTGCAAAATCTAAAATCAGGCAGGAGGCTACCAGATTCTTTTCTCCCATGGGCCGGGGTTTGTAATGTGACAGTGTCCGTGGTGTTCCTGCAGCAGGCTGGGCAAGCTGCAGAGCCAAGTGGCGTGATGCTGGCTGTGACACAGGCCCCAAAGAGGAGTCTAAAAACGCTGAGGAGGAGTCAGCCCTAATCTCTAGCCAGCATAAAACCTTAACTAAATTGCTAAGTATGGAAACACGGCGTCATCTCAGCAGGCGTTGCATAAGGTAGCCTCTGCAAAGCTGCAAGCTCAGAGCCTCGGCGAGCAGTAACGACATCAATCACTCTTTAAGGGTAGGTTTCTGGTTCTCCTGCAAGGAGTCCTATAAAATACACACAGGGATACAGGGCAGAGAGCAAAGCGGCATGGGTGTGTCATGCATTCCTTGACTCCTGCTCCAGATCTGATCTTCCTTCCCTGGAGTGAGTGTAATTTGGTAAACTGGAGCTACATGCTCTCTGGAGGGCTGTAGAAACAGGAATCATATATATGCTGGCCAGCACAGGCACTGCCTCGTCTGCCTGCAGAGCATGGACTGAAAGAAAAATTGATTTTCGTCAGGGATGCCTCACAACCAGCCCTGCCATGGGGTGAGGGGACAAACATGCTGACAATCTTTCCAGGCTTTGGGTGAGCAGCAAAATACACCCCCACTCCCCGCCATAGCCCGGGCTGCTGCCAGATTTCAGTGGAAGTTGCAATGGCTCTAAGGGAAGTAGAGGCCATTACCCCATGGCTGGAAGGGAGGATCAGTTTGGGGACGAGAGCAGGGTTTTGCCCTGCACAGAGGAGTCACCTGTTCATACAGTCATACCAGTTGCCATGGTTTCTGTGGCTCAGCTGAAACTAAGCACATTGCCACCTCAGGTACAGATTTGATCCATCAAGGGAAAGACTGTTCTGCTCACTGGGCTCACCTGCTTCTAATTACCCCTGTCCCCAGCCTGGCAGATCCAGCTGATCTGAAGGAAACCTATTAGGTTGCTCTACCTCCCAATACAGAACAGTGCCTTGCCCCTGCATGCAGTCACCAGTAAGCTCTGGAGAATGAAGCAGGACCTTGACATGCCTGCCAGTTTACACCGTGTCCCATTTCCACAGTGCACGTAGTCAGAGCACTTGCCCAGGAGGTGAGTGGGGCAGATACTCCCATGAAGGTGAGAAGTCTAGGCTGAGACTACTCAAACAGCAGGGAACCCACAGTTTCATGAAGCCCAAGGTGAGGGTCTTACCTACCCACACTACTTTCAATGTGGCATAGCCCTAACTCCTGCTAGGGAATCTTTTTGCTGTAATTTAAGTAGTATCCAGTCACCCAAGCACCAGCTGTAAGCAAAGATCAAGTCACCACCGAGGGCCTGGCGTGCTCAGCCCTCCCTGCCAGCAAGCAGCTGCCAGTAGTGACCTACTTGATCTGCCTGCTTGAGGAGCCTTCACGCAGCAGGTCCCAGCACGTGTGGCTGGTGTGCCCTGTCACAAGGAATAGGCTTGGAGGACTGGAGTCCTAGCTCAAGGACATAAGGAGCTCAAGTGTCAGAAACTAGGACCCTCACGAGGCTGCAACTGGGCAAACCATTTTCTAATGCCAGTGGGGACCCTCTCCCTCCCTGTCCTGGCACTTGGCTGAAGCTGGTCCTAAAGCTGCTGCACTCGGTGTGTGTGCGCCAGCCCGGCTGCGACATGCTGATGCCTGAGGTGGGCACGTCAGTAGGTTGTATCAGTGCAAGCAAGAGGGACTCTTAACTCCTCAGGGAAGCACGTGTGCATCCACAGGCCAAAGCTGGCTCCGGTAGCCCAAGCAGGGGGTAGGTTGCTGCTAAACCTGAGTATCGGTGGCCAAAGAACAAAAAAAATCCAAAAAAATCACCGCCAAACAGACAGACAAAATGATTGACAATTGCACATCCCAGATCCTGAAGCTTCTAGTAGAGAACAGCCATGCTGGGACTTCACCGGCATTCTGAACCTCCCAGAACTAGAACGAACCACAAAAACAATTTCTTGCATTGAGTGGCCAGATTGTAAACTTACCCACTAACAGAAGGGCACCTACAGGCAGAAACAGCTCTGCTATGCAGGCCCCTGTGTTCAAGATCTCTGCAGCACGTGACGGGCGCCGTAACAGCCGTCTTGGTATTTGCATCTTCCCTGTTGCCACGCTCCAGCCCCAGCGTTCACTCACGCTCACCACGGCCCCACTGGGCACAGCAAAGCCCAGGAGCCAGCCGGCAGCTCGCCAAAAAAAACCCTGACACAACCAGCTCGGGAGCAGCACTGAGCCAGCTCTGTGGACCAGCCCATAAGCATGCTGGGTAGAAGAAAATCATATTTATGTTTATACCTTAAAATCTGACTCAAGCGGCTGTCTGAAGAAGCCTCCAAGTGTTTCAGCGTAGAAGGCGTCCCATCACCAAAAGCACTAGAGCTAGGAGTAATCCTGCCCACTCAGCTCAGTGTGAGAGTAGCCCCCACCCCACCAGCTTGGGCCAGGAACCCATCTCCCACTCCTCTTTTGGGCACCTGGGGACCTGAAGGAAAATACAGAAGTACCAGTTCCACACTCCCATTACTTGGAGTTATCTCCTGAATGCTGCTCATGCTCACAAAATTTTGTTTTGTACCTCGAACCATTCACCTTCAGTAACAACGTTCAGGTGTGCCAAGTCTGAACACAAATCCCTCCCACCACTTTTACAGAGCTTGCACATCTTCTATCACGTAGTCTCGCTACTGAAAAACCAGAGAGACCTTAGTATGATTCCCCCCACTTTGGTACATTTTTTACCAAACTATGTAATTTCCAGTGGGTGACAAGCCACTGGAACGTCAACTGAGGACTCTCAAGGACTTTGTGCACTTGAACTGCACCCACTGCCCAGTGCAAGAAGCAGCACGCTATGTCACACGTTCTCCAAAGGTGCAAGCAGGTACAGCCAGTAGCTTTCTGTCTGTACTTACACCTAGGTGTGGTGCAGGTTTTGCTTGTTTTAGATACCGAGTTATCTCACACCAGCAATTCAAGTTTACTATAAAATAATTTATTGAGACAGCAATACACAGCTTTAGCGGCAAGCTTATTTACATGCACATGAACACTGCTGACTACCCTACTCAGGGACTCTAGCTCTTTTGCCCTTGGCCTTGCGGACCTCTTCAATCAGATCTTTTAAGTACTGGATTTCCTTACTAAGGGAATCTGCTTTCTCCTTCAGGGCCTGATTCTTCTGCTCCAACTCTCTACACTCCCCAGACAGTGCCTCCTGCTCCGCCCTCTTCTTCTGCCGGTACCGCGTGGCAGCAGTCTTGTTCTGCTCCATCTTTTTCAATTTCTTATCTATTTTCTTTTCCCCTTTCACCTTTGCTGACACTACCTTCTCTGCGGGGTGATCGTACGGTTTGGATCTCACAGAGCCGCAGCCAGCATCTGCGGGGAACGGGTTGTCATGGTGGGATCCAGCCGGATTGGGTGGACTATGTTGGGGTGTTCCCAGGTAGGAATCTGGGCTCATGCATATCCCACTATCATCGGAATGGTTCTCCTCCTCCTTCTCAGACTTGGCAATCACCACCACAACAGTGGGGCCCTCCTGTTTCCTTTCTCCTTCCAGAACATCCACTTCACTACCTAGTTCTAAACTAAACGAATGGTCTGGAGTGGAAGTCAGAGACCCTGGGGAGAGCGGGAAAGACCAAAGGGAAGGCAACGGGACCATGGGATCTGCTCCAATTGGAGATTCGGGGAGATGGGTGATTAGGTCAGTTATCAGTGGAGGTTCTTTGCTGTGAAATTCCTGGATGGTAGGGTTAAATAGGAGATCACACGTGTCTTCCAACGTGGCCATCAGCTCGTCTGGTGAGACGGTGGCTTCCAGATGTTCCATACCTAACAGGGCATCAAAATCAAATTCCTTCAGATCCATCTTCTCCACCATCCACTCCATGCCAGAGAAGGCATCCTCTGTGCAATAAAGAAAACCAACATCATAATGAAATGCTATTTTAGTAAAACAGCAGCCAACTACTCAAGCTTCTGAGAAGAATCTAGCAGCTCATCTTTTGTATCTTCCTTCTCTCTCATAATGGTATGAAAAAACTCAACCATCACAAAAAAAACCCCAAAACAAAAAACCCACACTCCTCCACCGTTCAGCTGCAGAAGACTGCAAGCCATCAGCTGCTCCAACATTCCATCCCTCTTAGTCCAAGACCACAAGAATTTGGGAGTATTTGAAGCATACAGCCACGCTTGTTTCTTGTGACCTCTGCCAGAGAACAGCACCTTAACAGCTGGTATGTTATTAAAAAGACATCACAAGTGTCACTTTACCATACGGCAGTCCAGCAACCAGCAATTCTGTACTGTGTAAGCTGTGTAAGCACACAGGCTTTCCAGGCAGAGATCTGCATGTGACGATGCCTTCGCATTTATGAAAAACTAACAATTTCATTTAATTAGAATGTTACTAAATATATCCTGTGCCATTGTAATTGATGCCCTTTATGCAAGTGAGTAATATCTTACCCTGGCTGCTATCTATGGTGTTGCCTAAACTGTCCACAGCAAGCCAATTGGAGGAGACTGCCTTAGCCTTGTCGCTGGAGAACCCATGCGAACTGAGGGGCTCGGCCACCTCCAGGTAGTCATCTAGGAGTCCCAAACCTTCCTCAGCCACCGAACACGGCTGGCTGAAGGGGGATAATGAATCCCCCAACAGCATCTCGTTGTTCAAGAGGCTCATCTTTGTCGGTTTTTAACGCTTTGACGTCGAAGGATGTAGACAAGTAGAGGGTCTTTTTGTCGACTACAGCAATGCTGCTGTGCGGTGCCTTGAAAAACCTGCAAAACAATTTTTGTTCATCAGTACTCGTTCACCCAGCACAGCAGCTTCTTTCCACAAGCAAAAACCATTTCAGGAAGTACTCTGTAAACTTGTACGACTTCTCCATTTTGGGGGACTGCCGTCCCGCGCGCCCAGCGCCACCTTTAGGGTTTAAAATTTCTTCGCGAAGGGCCAGCCACAGACTC